CCCCTCCTTCTACTCCTCCTACTCCTCACCCTACTCCACATTCTCCTCTGCCTCCTCATTTTAATTCTTCTCATCCTCCTTCTCCTCCTCTTTCTTCTTCTTCTCCCTCTCCTTCTACTTCTCTTCCTACTCAACATTCTCCTCTCCCTCCTCACCCTAATTCTTCTCATCCTCCACTTTCTCTTCCCCCTTATCCTCCTCTTCCTCACCCTATTCCACCTTCGTCTCCTTCTCGCCCTCCTCTTCTATCTTCTTCTTCTCCTCCTACTCCTCACCCTTCTCCACATTCTCTTCTACCTCCTAACCCTTATTCTTCTCATACTCCACTTCCTCTTCCCTTTCTTCCTCCTCTTCCTCACCCCATTCCACCTTCGTCTCCTTCTCACCCTCCTCTTCCATCTTCTTCTCCTCCTACTCCTCACCCTAGTCCACATTCTCTTCTCCCTCCTCATCCTCCACTTCCTCTTCCTCTTCTTCCTCCTCTTCCTTACCCTATTCCACCTTCGTCTCCTTCTCGTCCTCTTCCGTCTCCTTCTTCTCCTCCTCCTACTTCTCTTCCTACTCAACATTCTCCTCTCCCTCCTCACCTTACTCCACATTCTCCTTTGCTTCCTCATCCCAATTCTTCTCATCCTCCACTTCCTCTTCCTTCTTCTCTTCCCCTTTCTCCTTCTTATCCTCTTCCTTCTCCTTCTTCTCGCCCTCCTTCTACTCCTACTTCAATTCCTACTCAACATTCTCCTCTCCCTCCTCACCTTACTCCACATTCTCCTCTACTTCCTCATCCCAATTCTTCTCATCTTCCACTTCCTCTTCCACTTCTTCCTCACCCTATTCCATTTTCGTCTCCTTCTCTCCTTCTTCTCCTCCTTCTATTCCTCCTACTCCTCTCCCTCCTCACACTAATTCTTCTCATCCTCCACTTCCTCTTCATCCTTCTCTTCCTCTTCTTCCTCCTCTTCCTCACCCTAGTCCACCTTCGTCTCCTTCTCACCCTCCTCTTCCATCTTCTTCTTCTCCTCCTACTCCTCACCCTTCTCCACATTCTCTTCTCCCTCCTAACCCTTATTCTTCTAATCCTCCACTTCTTCTTCCTTCTTTTCTTTTTCTTCTTACTTCTCCTCCTCACCCTATTCCACCTTCGCCTCCTCCT